TCTTTTGTTCCTCTGCTATTGGGGCGGTTTCCTTTCTGCTCAGGTGGAAAGAGATTGTTTTCAACTAGATGCTGTTGCACTGCATCAGCTACTACACCAGTTAGTAATTTGAAAGTTGTTGGTAAGCAGGTAATTGGCCTGTAGTTACCTGGTGTTGCCCCTTTTGCTGGATTTTTCATTATTAGGTAGGTTTTCCCAGTTGTTAGCCACTTTTCAATTTCTCCTCCTTGTAGTATATTGTTGAACTGCTTGGCAATGAGTGGGTGTATAACAGTTAGATGTTTCAACCAAAACCCATGCAGTTCATCTTCACCTGGTGCTGACCAATTTTTGATTTTCTTTGCTCTTTTTTCTACCATTTTTGTTGTTATTACTAGTTCTTTCATTTCAACTTCTGTTTTATTTGCATCCACCTCTTTTAACCAAGCCGCATCCTTGTTGTATTTCTTTGGGTTATCCCATATCTGCTTCCAGAACTGCACTGTTTCTTCCTTGTCAGGTACTGACTGATTCCTTGCAGTTTCTCCATTGATGGATTGGTAGAAACGTTTCTGATTGGATTGAAATTGGAGGTTCTGCCTATAGTTTGCAATTCGAGCTTCATATCTACTGATTTTCCTGGCTATAGCTGTTATTTGTTGCTTTATTATTTCCAGTGCTTCCTTGATCTTCCTTGTTTCTAAGTGGTATTTCTTGATTAGGTATTCTTTGGTCTTCTTGTTCTTCAGCTTCTTTTCTTTCATCTGTTCTAGCTTGCTTGCATGTGATCTTAACTTGCTGATCTTATTTTCTAGTCTAACCTTCCATTTTTCTGGTGCACTGTTTGTTTGTTTTTCTTCTTTGTTGATTTTGCATCCCAGGTATTCTGTTATAACTGCAGCTGTGCTGTACATTAGTTGGTTTGTTTCTTGCAATGAATTGGTGCTTATACTTGATATTGCAGTATTTGCATCTTTTAATGCTTGTGCTAGCTGTTTCTTTGGAACAAGCTTCAATGCAGGTAGCCTTATTCTGTTGTTTTTGTGCTGTTCTAGATGCTCAGTTATTCTTTGTTTCAATTCTTTTATTTCTTTAGTTAGAGGGTTTTGTTCTTCCTGAGGTAGAGGTGCCTGGTTTCCAAATGAGAACAGTTGTATATCTCTGCTAGATTCCTTCACTGCCAACTCCCCCTGGTTTGCCTCTACATTCTGAATTACTTCTGGTAAGGCTTTGATTTCTTTGCCCTGGGTAAACCTTTGCAGTTCGTCCAATTCTGTTTCTGTGAATATTTTATTTCGTGTTATAAATCGGCGTTGATCTGCTAGTCTCTGTTCTGTTATTTCTGATTCTGGATGTTGTTCTTTCCAGAACTGGTGCATTCGTTTTAGATATCCTCTTCTTGTTGGACTTGATCTGTAGTAACAGATCATTATTTCTTTGTTTTCCATCACTGTGTATCTGCGACGGGTAAACACCTTTTCTTCCAGTAGTTCTGCAGCTGCTGGCCCTGGTTGCTCAGCCAACAGTCCTGAGTCCTGTAACCCATTTTTCACCAGATATCCAGGAACTCCAATATCTAGCGCGGACCTTGTTAACCCGGGCGACGTCCGAGCCGGTATGGCATTCTGAAATTTACGTCTCACCATATTTTTTATGGGAGAGACACTCTTTGTCTGACTCCTCTGATGAGACCTGTCCAGTATGGTTGAACCTCTGGCATAGCTCTCATCTTCCTCAGAGTACACAAGCCCCACAACCACGTCAAGGTAGTGCCTCACTGGGGGATTATTATTATTATTATTATTATTATTTATTATTATTATTATTACTATGGATCATCGCACAGTCAGCCAGATGTTCAGACTGGATTTGGCATTTTGTCTACCTATCGAGTCCTTACCCAGGACCTGGGATAGGCAGATGTGGATGTTTGATGGTATTACAGATATCGTCACAGGATGGAAGCAGTTCCTAGTAAGGCCGCCTTTTGCAATTGACTAATAGCGAATTTGTCAATGCCAATGTTGTTCAAGTGGTGCTCCAGTTATTTTGGGATATTATTATTATTATTATTATTACCTCCAAGTTCCCCTCCATCTCTATTCTGACTGATTAAAAAAAATGGGGCTTTAGATCAGTGGTGGCGAACCTATGGCACGCATGCCAGAGGCAGCACTCAGAGCCTTCTCTATGGGCACGCACGTCATCGCCCCAACAGAGTTCACCAGAGTAGCAAGCACATGGCATTTGGAAGTGACAGGGCAGGAAGTGAGCAAGCAAGCAGCATTGGCCCCCCGGAGATGCCCCAGAGATGGCAAGGGACTGGCCCCCACTGCCCTGGCCCCGGCCATGCTCACCCAGTCTGCCATGACCACTGCAGCTACGCTCACCCAGTAGGCCACGTCCCACGTCCCGCCCCCCCCCCGAGGGCACCACAATCCTGATGCAGCTCTGGCACTTTGCGATAAATAAGTGGGTTTTGGGTTGCAGTTTGGGCACTTGGTCTCTAAAAGGTTCACCATCACTGCCGTAGATGATTTGGGTTGTTTGTGTCACCCAAACCTAGCCACCAGCTATCAAACCAGATCATTTTTTTTTTCTGGATATGGCTTTGGAAAAATCTGTTGCTTCTTTCCATTCCTTCCAATTCGCCATTCTAAACTTTCCCCTTGAAAGCTTCCTTCTCACCCATCAAACCTTCTTGCCATGAGATGCTTTACCCTGCAGACCCCATTTGAGAATGATCTTAAAAACAGACCGATCGAAAATATATGTCAGCATATAGAAGAGTACTTTCAGCTACCTTTTTTTTTTTTTAAATTTTCCCTCGGTTGAAAAAACAGAAAAAAAAACCCCAATTAATTTAAAAACTCCGCCAGATTGTTTTGCTAGCACTGACAAGCAGAGTTCCTGGGCGGCCTTCTGCAAAAGTAATATGTCAAATTAATATTTCAAAGGAGGCGAATATCACTTTCTTCCCCCCCCAAAAATAATCATAATGAATTGTCCCTTTAGTATTATCATGCAGCTAGTTCTCAGTCCTGGATCGTTTGCTTTAGATTTGCACTTGCACCGGAATTGTTTTCATGAGGTTGATGTATAAAAGCAATTCCGTGGGAGGAAATAACGGTGTTAAAAGAGGCTCGGAGTTCGTTATCTGGCCCGGTGGTGGGGAAAAAAAAAAAAAAAAAGATCAAGGAAAAACAGATCAAGTTTGTTCCGTCGCTTGCTCTGGGAGTGATTCATATCAGGAAGTGGTAGCACTTTTATTTTTAGAGCAGACAATTTGCAGCAGCCCTCAGGTCCCTTGCTTGTATGAAATGCAGAGCCAAGGCAGCTGCCTTGATCATGACAAAGACACAAAAAATAAAAAATAAAAAAAATCCCAGATCTGTCTCAAGGTACTACTTTTATTAGGTCAAATCCAGGCTTACAGAATCTCTGCAATCTTGGGAGTTTCCAAAAATATTTCATCGAGCAAGATAGTTGTAAATCCAGGAACAGGATTGGGGGGGGAAGCATAAGATTGGGGTTTTTAAAATTAAAAAACACCAACAACCCTATTGGGGCCAGATTCATCTTAAATAATGCATTACAAGATTTAACGTCCTTGCAAACGGGAGTGTCCAGGGTGTGCTGGCTTGGGTCAAGGATTTTTCCAGTCCTTGCTAGGAAAAGTAGAAAAAAAAAACAGATTCCCCCCAATTATTGGGACTATCAAAGACAGCTGCTAATGTTTAGATTATTTTCATCCTTTGCAAAACACCGAGGAATCTGCTAACTTTGAGATGCATCTAAGACAGGGGTAGGCAACCTTGGCTCGTTTATGACTCGTGGACTTCAACTCCCAGAATTCCTGAGCCAGCATGGCTCAGCTTGAAAACCTCTCCCTTTCCCTCAACATGGCTGGCTCAGGAATTCTGGGAGTTGAACTCCACGAGTCATAAAAGAGCCAAGGTTGCCTACCCCTGATCTAAGATTATAAGCTGTTTTTTTTTCCCTTTGTGTTTGATTCTGTGGATTTTTTTTTTTTTTAGGTTTGGCCTTGCCTCCTTTTTAGGGCTGAGAAAGAGTGACTGGCCCAAGGTCATCCAGATGACCTAGTGCCTAAAGCAGGACTAGAACTCACGGTCTCCCAGTTTCTAGCCTGGTGCCTTCACCATTACCCAAAGCTGGCTCTCTATAATAAGCTAATATAGGCCTAATTTCACACATCCCCCCTTTTTTTCCCCCCACTCAACTTTCATCTTTTCCCCTTTCTGTTGTTCATCATCTTGCTTGGGAAGGCTTGCAGCTGTTTTATAAACCTCCCGTCAACTTAATCGTTGCTTTCGGGACATCATCTGGATTTGATTTCTATGTTTAGTGTGCTAAGCAAGAAAGGCATTCTCAGAGGACAGTGAAATGAGCGTCTGTTGGCAACCAACTCATTAGCACGGAGGAAGAGCGAGAAGCCAAGTTTTTGGACTCTGCGTAGCTTGAGAAGGTTCAAGAAGCTGACAATGTGGAGTCAAAGTCTAGATATTGAAACTTTCCACAATATCTCCCATTACGCCCTGCTAGGATCTTCAGGGGCCAGTCAGTATTCTTTACTACAGTATATAATCAATAACTTGATGTTGGAGAGCAACCATGCCAGTTGGGAGAAGGGGTCAAGTCTGGACTCTTTCCATAAACACAAGAGGGAAGGTCTGACTCAACCTTGAATGTCTTGGAGCCTTAGTTGATCTTTCCAAGGTGAAAGCTGCCAGTCTGTGGAGATTCCTGTATTATAGGCAGAAAACAATAAAGTAGGTAGTTTGAACTCTAGGCCTATGGTCTGGTTGTGCCTGCCTGACACTGAATGACATGGAGACAGATGGAAGATTTTCTGCCTACGGGATTCCACCGTAATTTCATCCGTCAATCGTGAGGAATAAAGTGTATTGCCCTGCCCTTAAGAGAGGAAACCGCCTGCGTTTAGACTCCAGATACGCAACGCGGTTGATCTTTTTTGGGAAGAGAATAACAAGACAAAGGAATGCATAGAAGCTTGGTCTTTATTCCACCAAATTGAACAGTACATGGGGAAAAAAAAGAAAGGAATTATCGAAGGTCGAGGGTGAAAGAATACTGCATAGTCACGTTACAACATAAAGATTGCCACGTTTGTTACATAGGTAATTATACCCTTCCCGCTACTTGTTCAAAACATGACAGTGAGAGGTCCCAGGATGTATTGTTAGACATTGAAACAGAGCACAAAACGCCTACGGGATTATGGTTGATTAAGCACCAACCAGAGAGACTTCCATCCCTGTATGGCTTCAGGGGTAGAAGGAGGGGCCAAGCTGTGCTTTCTCCACCTGTAACATGGGGACGATGCATTTGGGCTTTCTGAGGTTCCGGAAGTTCTGTTTAATAGTCGGGAACTATGGCAGCGGTGGGAGGGGAAATCTCCTCTTGCCCCCAAGCCTTGAACTGGAAGACGTACGAGTGGCCAAGCCACCTAATTTGACAAGGCTCGGAACTTCTCTTGGCAACGATACTCTTCGCTTCTTCGGCATTTTTCTACAAGAAGTCCCCTCTTCAAAGTGTGTTTCTGTAAAGAGGGTTGTGTGTAGGTTTGTACGTGTGTTTCTGTGTGTGTGTGTGCATGTATGTGTGGTGCACATTCATTTCACTACACAGCCAGGACGACTCCCGGGATAGTAAATGGCTCTTATCCTTCACCACCAAGTGGTAGATGGAAGATAGTTTGACTAGATATATAAGGAAAGGGAGAAGGTTGAAGAGAGGTAGAACTTCAAGGTGGATCATGGTGAGGGAAGGGGGTGTGTGTCCAACAATTGATGGTTCTAACCTGAGACAGGTACGCACACCTCATGTCCACTGAAGAGGGATAGAAAAAGGAAGATACCTTACAAGGGAGGGGACTTGGGCTGCAAAGAAAATACTCAGCTCACGCACGCACAAACAAGGAAGATAAACTCATTGGGCATCTGTTGGGTCCTTCTCATCAACTAGGGTCAGGCTTTCACTCTCACGGACACCCCACCCCACCCCACTCACAAGGGTCCCAAGTTGACCACTGGGATCTGGTGCCGGTCAAGAGGCAGCATGGAGTCACATGATGGTGCATTTCTCAGCAGACTGCTTCAGATCATCTATGGTGGCTTGGGCTTTGTCCTTCAAGGAATCTAGGTCTATGTTCTGGATGTTGGTCAGCTGTCCGATTACAGAGTCCTTTTCCTCTTCCTCCTCGTTGTCTTGCTCTATCATCTTGGCCAGCTCCTTAGGCAGCTCCACGTCACCCCCGGCTAGTTGGATTTGGCTGTCATCAGTTTCGTTCTAAAGAGAAGAAGGTTAACCGATTGGTCTGACTTAAGAGAAGCAAACCCCTTTGACTATGGAGGTTCTCCATCATCCAGTTCCTGGTTGTCTCAAGAGTGCTTTTCCAGGAGGCAACTGGACTGTCTTGTTTTTCTTTGAAGACGTTTCGCTTCTTCTCCAAGAAGCTCTCCACCATCCAGTCAGAGTTGAAGAAGCTTCTTGGAGGAGAAGCAAAACATCTCCAAAGAAAAACAAAGGAAGTCCAGTTACCTCCTGAAAAAGAACCTTTGGGACAAATCCCATGGATTTCAGTGGCGGCAAGTCTCAGAGGCAATACCGGTAGGTCTTCACATAGGACCATAACCGAGACTAAAAACGTCTGTCACTAAGCAACATAGTCACTGTGTGAGTCACACCTGATGACCTTCTCTGCCAGGGTCATTAAGCAGATCATTCTGCCCCTGAAGTGCACTCAGCTTCCCTCGTCGACTTTGCTTGTCAGCAGCTGGCTGGGAACGTTGCAAGTGGCAATCAGGTGATCCCGGGATGCTGCAATCATCATAAATACCTGCCACCCTAATTCTGATCACGTGACCACAGAGATGTTGCAATGGTCATAAGGGTGAGGGTTAGTTTTAAGTCACTCATCATAACTTTGAATGGTCACTAACCTAATGGTTAGGGTTAGGGTTTACCTGAGGTCTACCTGTAATTTTCTGAGTAGGTTTGGATTCAAAAGCTAAGGGGGAGGGCTGGTCTTAGTTGTACCACCAGGGAATTCTTGGACAATAGCTTAGATAAGGAAATCCCCCCCCCCTGCCCAAAACCTCAATAATGACAAGAACGACTTCTCTAAGATTGCCAAGAAAAATACATGTATGTCCATGAATTCCCAAGGATCAACTTTACCTCTGCTTACAAATAAGTGGGAATTTGAAAGCGAAGGAGGAACATGAGATTCAGGATGAGATTTAGAACACAGTACATCAAATATCAGAATTGGAAGGGCCCTTGGAGGTCTTCTAGTCCAGGGCTCCCCAATCCCCAGGCTGTGGACCAGTACCCGGGCCGCGGCATGCCAGCAACTGGGCCGCACAAACATGCAAAGCCCCATCCACAGGATGCAGGCAGCACACAAAACCACGCATTCTCCAGTCCGTGGAAAAACCTGTCTCCACGGAACCGGTCCCTGGCGCCCAAAAGGTTGGAGATCTCTGTTCTAGTCCAGCTCCCTGCTTCAGCAGAAGATCCTATCTACCATTTCAGACAGGTGGCTGTCCAGTCTCTTCTTATACAGATTATTCAGATTTTGGGATCTGGATGGTCTATTGATAATCATATTAGCTACATTCACGCGGCTGTGCTGACCAAATGGGCTACGGTTTTAACGACAGCATTCATAGCACCAGCCAAGTTGGTTAGGCTTAATCTTCTCTGTGGCTTAGTGCCCTGGTCAAATTCGGATGTGGGACAGTTTTCCACGATCCGACTAAGCCTGCTACCATCCTAGAAAATGATGTAAGAGATGCTTGCAAATGTCAGATGTAGGGTTGCAGATGAATGACTAAATGCCAGGTATAAAAATAGGCCATTTTGTCAGATTTCGGCCTTGGGGCAAAAACCCAATAAATACTATTAGCCACTTCCCAGTGAAACAAGTTGAGTGAAACCAAACTGCATTCACCATAAGCTTCATTGATTTGAAGAAGACCAGTTAGGAAGAGAATTCTGAACATAATTGGTTTGTCCTAATTATGCCTGGCCTTAAAAGGTCTGCAAACGGGCAGCATATTGGGTTTTGGATTCAACTAGAAAGGATTCCAGCAGAGACAACTGAATACGTCGTAGCTCACGGCTAATCTCTGGATGGCCCAACTATGCTCAACTTCAGTTTCTCACTCATTGGGCAGCTTCAGAAATGTAACTGGTTTTCAGCTGGAAGAAATCACCAGATCAATTCAGCCAGAAGGATTCCCTGGGACACGTTTCACTTCTTATCCAAGAAGCTGCATCACTTGGGACTGGATGGTGGAGAGATAGAAGGATAGGTTCAGAACCCATCCTTCCATCTCCCCAACATCCAGTCCCAACTGCTGAAGCTTCTTGGATAAGATGTGAAACAACTTCTTCTTCTTCTTCTTCTTCTTCTTCTTCTTCTTCTTCTTCTTCTTCTTCTTCTTCTTCTTCTTCTTCTTCTTCTTCTTCTTCTTCTTCTTCTTCTTCTTCTTCTTCTTCTTCTTCTTCTGCTTCTTCTTCTTCTTCTTCTTCTTCTTCCTCCTCCTCCTCCTCCTCCTCCTCCTGAAAAAAATAGTCCACTTGCCTTCTATTTTAAATTTTTAAAAAAGCACTTTTGAGACAACTATGTCCTGGATGACTGAGCATCTCCATAGATGTTCTCAAGACTGTGTTTCTCAAACTTGGTAACTCTATGACCTTAAATGACTGGGGACTTCTGGGAGTTGAAGTCCACTGGTCTTCAAATGACCAAGTTTGAGAAACATTTCCCTAGTGTCTTCTACATTGTTTTCCCAGAATTCCCAAGCAGTACCCAACCTATCGAAAAGGTACTATTGGTTCAGGGTCATTTAGCTATCTCTACACAATAAAACTCTACCTCTTTGGAGGCTTCGGACCATGTCCAAGACCTACATTTTTCAAAGGGACAGAGTGTTGATGGGTGTTGGTGTACCCACCCTCTTGAGATTAGCTGTCCCCTTGCAGAGACTTGTGCTGCTGTCTTTGTAAAAAAAAAAAAAGGTAATTCCTCTTGCAAGTGGCTGGCTGGTTGACGTCTTCGTAAGGCGTAGGGATTCATAAAGATCTTGTCCTCTTTCTGTCTTCAACTGACAGTAGAGGACGCCCACTTCAACTTGCTTTGGGGAACTGGGAAGTTGTGTTTATTTCTGTTTACTTATTTCCAATATTTGCAGAGTACTTAAGAAAGACGTTTTTGGTGCTCTGTAGGACAAATTAAAACCATGTAATATGACTTTCCTCTGGGGTTCGGCAGCGTAAATTAAAATCATCTAGTATCCAAATCAAAGTCAAGCAGCAAAAATGCCACTGAAGGGTCCCAGCAGAATTAAATCAAAAGAAACTAGAGAGGGAACTGAAATGGTGGGAAACTTCTAAACAGGAGACCCACGAATGCACCAGGTTGATGATTCGATTCAATAGCAGTTGGGTTGAATTAGTCCTTCAGTTCAAATCATTGAATAGAATCAAGTGCCTTTGACTCAATCCCAATACTTGACTTAAAGCCATTCGTTTAGGGCAGGGGTAGGCAACCTTGGCTCTTTTGTGACTCGTGGACTTCAACTCCCAGAATTCCTGAGCCAGCGTAGCTCAGGTTTAGGGTGACCAGCTGACTGGAAAATTCTAGGAGTTGAAGTCCACACATCTTAAAATTGCCAAGGTTGAAAAACTGGTCTAAACTTTAAATAAAAAAGATGGGGCTGGCATTAATTGGAAGTTTCTGCAGAGTCTAGTCTGGAGTCAGGGTTCTCCATAACCAATTTTGGGCATTATTATTATTATTATGGATCATCGCAGAGTCAGCCAGATGTTCAGACTGGATTTGGCATTTTGTCTACCTATTGAGTCCTTACCCAGGACCTGGGATAGGCAGATGTGGATGTTTGATGGTATTACAGATATCGTCGCAGGATGGAAGCAGTTCCTAGTAAGGCCGCCTTTTGCAATTGACTAATAGAGAATTTGTCAATGCCAATGGTGTTCAAGTGGTGCTCCAGTTGTTTTGGGATTGCACCCAAGGCACCTATTACTATTGGTGCTACCCTTGCCTGCATTTGCCACAGTCTTTCTATTTCTATTTGTAGGTCTTTGTATTTTGTTACCTTCTCAGTTCTTTCTCGTCTATTCTGCTATCTCCAGGCACTGCCACGTCCACTATCCAGACTTTTTTGTCTTTCTTATCGACAATTGTTAAGTCCGGGGTGTTATGTTGCAGGTGCTTGTCTCTTTGAATTCTGAAGTCCCAGAGCAGTTTAATTTTATCATTTTCTATGACTTTCTCTATTTCATGATCCCACCAGTTCTTGCTTACAGGCAAATGATATTTCTTGCAGATTTTCCAATGCACCATTGTTGTTACTTTGTCATGCCGCTGCTTGTAGTTAGTCTGTGCGACCTTCTTGCAGCAGCAATTGTTGTTGTTATTAATAATAATAATAATAATAATAATAACAACAACAACTGCTTCCATCCTGCAACAATATCTGTAATACCATCAAACATCCTCATCTGCCTATCCCAGATCCATGGAAAGGACTCGATAGGTAGACAAAATGCCAAATCCAGTCTGAACATCTGGCTGATTGTGCAATGATTAATAATAATAATAATAATAATAATAATAATAATAGGCTACCCATCTTACCATGCGGTAATTCTGGGTGGCTTACAATATTAAAAAGATAAAACTATACCAAATCTACAGACAATATAAATGCTATAGAAATCCCAAATATTCAACCCTAACTAAAAGATGGGGAGGGAGGGAGCAGGGTGAGTAGCGGGGAGAGAATTATCAACTCTGTTTACCTGCTGGGAATCTATTCTCCTGTAGCATAAAGAAGCTTTCTTCACTTTGATTGCGAAGCTTCACTATAATAAAGTTGTGTGGAGCAGGGATCTCCAACCTTGGGAACTTTAAGACTTGTGGACTTCAGTTTCTAGAATTCCTCCCAATTCTGGGAGTTGAAGGCAACAAGTCTTAACGTTCCCAAGGTTGGAGACCCCCGAGGTAGAGAAATTCCCTAAACAAACCAGACTGAGCTCTATGAAGGCCCCACTCCATACCTTGGGCAGTTTGTATTTGTCTCGGAAGTGAGTCCGCAGTGTAGCACGTTCAGCCTTCTTCTGGGCAAACAGGGCATCACGCTCCATCCTGCCAAAGTCATAAGGAGAAAGAAATTGATTTCAACCATGAACAGGTCTGCTCATCTGTCCAAACTCAGTCTAGGCAGCCTACAAGGGTCAGCACCACAAGACAAGCTTCATAGAACCCAATCGCCAAGGCCATCAACAGGATTCAACTGAAGAATAACCTCAACTGGCATATTAACCTCACCTAAACACATGGCCTCAAAGCTGGGAGGAACTGTCAGGTCTGAACAGTAAGACCACACTTGGAATATTGCATCAAATTTTGGCCACCAGAGATTAAAAAAAATATAGAGATTCTAGAAAGAGTGCAGAGAAGAGCAACAAAGATGATTAGGAGACTGGAGGCGAAAATATATGAAGGACGGTTGCAGGAATTGGCTATATCTAGTTTAATCCAAAGAAAGACTGGGGATGACAAGATAGCAGTCTTCCAATATCTAAGGGGCTGCCACAAAGAAGAGGGGGGTCAACCTATTCTCCAAAGCATCTGTAGGCCAGACAAGAACTAATGGATGGAAACTGATCAAGGAGAGATTCAGCCTAGAAATAAGAAGAAATTAGAACAATTGAGACAGTCAAAACAATTAATCAACTTGCCTTCAGATGTTGTGGGTGCCCCATCACTAGAGGCTTTGAAGAAGAGACTAGACAGCCATTTGTCTGAAATGGTAGAAGTTTTCCTGCCTGAGCAGGGGGTTGGACTAGAAGACCTATAAGGTCCCTTCCAGCTCTGTTTTTCTGCTCTGTTCTATGGTCTCTAAAGCCTTATGGAAGACTAGTAGGGTTAGAGCAGTGGTTCTCCACCTGTGGGTTGGGACCCCATTTGGGGTCGAACGACCATTTCACGGGGGTTGCCAAACAACGCAGTCTGCCATTTTTCCCCCCCTTTTCCTTAGCTGTGCTCCTCCCTTTTATTCTATTGGCTTTCGAAAGCCAATAGAATAGACTCTCTTGAATAGAGTCTAATTCTATTGGCTTTCCAAAGCCAATAGGGATTGTCCAGGCTGTCTCTGCCCTGCTGAGCCCACCAAAAGTCCCATTCTGCAAACGGTGCTGCACCAGTTGAGTAGTCCTTGACTTACGACCGGTTGGGGGTCACAGCATTAAAAAGGTTGAGAACCACTGGGTTAGAGCCATCTTGCTCCCTGGAGAGCTGGTACAGAGGAGGCAGGATATTGGGTTCCAATGTGATGGCATTGTTTGATGGAAGAGACCTGGAGACCTTGCTTGATCCGGAGGGGCAAGCCAAAACAATGGGGAGACAGGCAGTCCCACAAATAGCTTGGCCCTATTATTAGTAAATGTGCTCCAGTTGGCAAGCTAAGCCGAAATTGCCGGAGGATGACAACATGGGAACAGAAAGACAGAAGATTTCCCAAAGGAGACAGGTATCCAGGCCAGTGTGAAGTTAATCAAAAGATACAGACCAAGCCACATTAATTAAGCAACAAAAACCTGGCTCGGTTACTGTGAAATAATTGCCTCTGCTCTTTCTCTGCCTATATCCAATATTTGTTGAAGCAAAACTGGTGTATTGCACATTGCATACACATATAAAAATGTGTGACCCAACCTTGCTTGTAAAAGAGCGTATTGCTATCGTTTTACATAATCTCCTCTCGACTGATATTGTAAGGATCACGTCTCATTATCAATGCACAGGACGCAATCCCAGTTTGTGCATTATGTAATCCAGAAAGTCTAACCTCACGTGAGGTTCATTCCTCACCCCGGGCTTTTACATGGTACAATGATCGCATCCCTAACAAACCTTCATAGAAAAGCCGCAAGTTTGTAGAACTAAACAATGAAGAAATAAAGAAGCAAGACTCAGCCTTAGCTAGATGTAAAGAAGAAATTAAGTGAATCCTTAAGTGAGATTTTAATAAACCTAGTGAAAAAGGCGTCCCAAATTCCTGGTTTTTATTTTTATTTTTTGCCATCCTAGACTAAACCAGGGTTAAGATTGCTGGAATTGGGGATGTCTAGTTTAATGAAGAGAAGTACGAGGGGGGACATGATAGCAGTGTTCCAATATCTCAGGGACTGCCCCAAAGAAGAGGGAGTCAAGCTATTCTCCAGAGCGCCTGAAGGCAGGACAAGAAGCAACGGATGGAAACTCATCAAGGAGAGAAGCAACCTAGAACTAAGGAGAAACTTCCTGACAGTTAGAACAATTAACCAGTGGAACAACCTGCCTCCAGAAGTGGTGAATGCTCCAACACTGGAAGTTTTTAAGAAGAGACTGGACAGCCATTTGTCTGAAATGGTATAGGGTTTCCTGCCTGAGCAGGGGGTTGGATCAGATGACCTCCAAGGTCCCTTCCAACTTTTTATTATTATTATTATGGATCATCGCACAGTCAGCCAGATGTTCAGACTGGATTTGGCATTTTGTCTACCTATCGAGTCCTTACCCAGGACCTGGGATAGGCAGATGTGGATGTTTGATGGTATTACAGATATCGTCGCAGGATGGAAGCAGTTCCTAGTAAGGCCGCCTTTTGCAATTGACTAATAGCGAATTTGTCAATGCCAATGGTGTTCAAGTGGTGCTCCAGTTGTTTTGGGATTGCACCCAAGGAGCCTATTACTATTGGTACTACCCTTGCTTGCTTTTGCCACAGTCTTTCTATTTCTATTTGTAGGTCTTTGTATTTTGTTATCTTCTCCAGTTCTTTCTCATCTATTCTGCTATCTCCAGGCACTTCCACGTCCACTGTCCAGACTTCTTCTTCTTCTTCTTCTTCTTCTTCTTCTTATTATTATTATTATTATTATTATTATTATTATTATTATTATTATTATTATATCCTATAATATCCAAATGAATCCTTTAACTTCCTTTAATCTGCTTGGACTAAGATGGCTTTGTTCCAAGGGTTAGGTAAAAACAAAGGCTGGGTTCACACAACTTTCTCAATCTAGTTAGGCTAAAAATCTAATCGTTGCAGTTGTACTGTACAACTTCATGATCTTGATTAACTGAGAAGGTGTCTGCTTTTACCCACACAGTTGAGGTGATGAATTTGCTAGGCAAATATTATCCTGAAAATGGCTTCACTTAGTACGCAAAATTATCCTGTTAGATGAACACAGCTATCCAGGATCTGGAGTTAGGATACTACTCTCGTTCTTCAGTGGTGTATACGGCAGAAAAAAACCCTTTAATTTCTTATATTCTCTCCTTGCCCCAATATCAAAGTCATCTTAATTGGTCCCATTATATCTCCTTTCAGTGGTACAACTAAGTAACTCTCATTCCAAGTCCTATGGCTCAATTAATTCTCCGTCCTGGAAACATTTAAACAAAAGGCCACACTTGGAATAGAGCATCCAGTTTTGGGCACCACGATGTAAAAAAAATGTTGAGACTCTAGAAAGAGGGCAAAGAAGAGCAACAAAGATGATTAAGGGACTGGAGGCTAAAGCATATAAGGAACGGTGGCTTGAATTGGGTATGTCTAGTTTAATGAAGAGAAGGACGAGGGGGGACATGATAGCAAGTCTTTCAGTATCTCAGAGGCTGCCCCAAAGAAGAGGGGGTCAAGCTATTCTCCAAATCACCTGAAGGCAGGACAAGAAGCAACGGATGGAAACTAATCAAGGAGAGAAGCAACCTAGAACTAAGAAAAAACTTCCTGACAGTGAGAACAATTAACCAGTGGAACAACCTGCCTCCAGAAGCGGTGAATGCTACAACACTGGAAGTTTTTAAGAAGACGCTGGACAGCCATTTGCCCGAAATGGTATAGGATATCCTGCCTGAGCAGGGGGTTGGACTAGATGACCTCCAAGGTCGCTTCCAACTTTATCATTATTATTATAAATGCTGCTGGCAACACAAGCTGTTAGACAGCAGGACTGACTAAAGAAATACTTGAGTCCTTAAATGCTGGGTATTAAGCAGAGGCTGGATAGCCATCTGTCAGGCTTCCTCCAGCCAGGGCTAAAACTAAATGCATCACAGGTGGTGTATCAAGGGCACCACCCTCTGATAAGTACAGGTAGTCCTGGACTTCATTTAGTGACCGTTCAAAGTTACAACATCACCAAAAATAGTGACTTATGACTGTTTTTCCCAATTACGACAGTTGCACCATCCGCATGGTCATGTGATCGCAATTCGGACACTTGGCAACTGACTCATATTTATGACAGCGGCAGCCTGCCGGGGTCATGTAACTCTCCTTCTGTGAACCGTCTGACAAGCAAAATCAACCATGTGACCCTCTTAACAGCTGCAGTGATTCATTTAGCAAACCATGACAAGAAAGGACGTAAAAATGTGGCAAAATTCACGTAGCAAATGTCTCGCTTAGAAACAGAAAGTTGGGCTCATTTGAGGACACTCAGTATGCGTTTTGCAAAAAAACGAGAAACCTATTAAGAAAAGAAAAAAATCCAGCCCCTGCTATGTTGCAAAACCCAAACTCTACTTATCATGTAATAGAAACCAGGCTTAATTCTCGTGCTTCTTTTTTTCCTGTTCATGTAGGTCTACGAAACAGTTCTCGTTGCACGGAACCATTGCTACATGGATCTCGTGACTGTAATGGATTAGTTTAGTCCAAGCTGATGGTTCCTAATCTTGTTGGATCTAGCTCTCCCACTGTCTTTCAAAGTTAAGGCAATTTTGTAGTTTCTGCATCGGGCACCAGCAAGATGAATTTACCTTTCAGTGGTGTAATTCTACAAATCTGTGATGGAGTTTAAATGAGCATGAGGGTTAGGACAGCCTTGACAGATTTCATGGAGAGGAAAATTAAGTACCATCAAGCAAACCAGGAACTGGTCTATTAAATTAAACTCTTTTTATAGGTCAAAGATAAGAAATAGGATTTGGGGCTGTCTTAGTTCTTTAGCTAAAAAGCTAAGATTAAGGGCCATTTCTTAGCAGTTCCATCATTTTATGTTTCTGAGCTTATTCCCTATGCCACTGATGTTCTTACATTTGTCTGAAAAAGTTGCTGTCAAAATTATTTCTGTGCAAAACTCTTCAGGAACCAGTGCTCCTCTCTGCAACACAGTTTCATAATAAAAAAAAATCAGGTGGAAATCTATCCCAAATCCTTAATCTACCTTTAAGCTTAAGTGACTATCTTTTTGATTCAGACTGTAGCTCCTCCGGGCTCCCTGCAAAGATAATAGAAGGCAGGCAGAGGTGCTTACTCACAATAAACCTTGGGAGGGATGGGATGTGAGAATGGTTAAGGTATTATAAAACTCTGAGCGCTGAGTGCAGAAAGTGAGTAATTCCAAAGAAGAACAATGTATTATGTACTAAAGCAGCTTTAAATTATGTGTCTATTCCTTCTTCCCCTCCCTTCCCCAAATTAGAAATAATTCAGAATATAAATAAATCTGTAGTGAGACATAGTGGGGTTTTTTTTTTTCTCTTCCTGGGAAAACAATCCCATCTCTTGAAAGCAAAAGAGGATTAAAAGATTAGGGGTTCATGAAAATACATTGCTGACATTCCCTGCTCTCTGTAACTAATGGAATATCCTGAGTTTCTGTGCATGTGAGGAGCAGCTGAAACAGGTGCAAAGTCCCGTTAATTCAGCCACCATTTAAATGAAAGATCAGCTTCTACAATCTGCGTTCCGCAGCCCTGAATTCCTACATTTGCATTTAGAGAGCGAAGGGTTTGAGGTCAAACTTTGCATAAAAACTGCTTAGAGCAAAGGATTTATTTCTGCGCAGATATTCCTGAGGGCTATTTTTAATTTAGCTCACAAATTTGCTCTATTTTTATGGTGTAAGCTCAGCCCCTTCCGATGTTTTGCTAGAATCCATCTAAAAACATCCTGATTTGAAGCTTTCAAATAGCTTCTTTTTTTTCAGAATTCCTACTTATTTTATTTAGCTTTGAAGGTATGGATCTCAGAATCTATTTCTGATTGGATGAACGAGTTCAAGATTTTATTCAGCCTAGCCTAGAACATCACAGGGGAGAAATCTTCACTCTCTGCACATGTACTCATCTTCCCATTGATTCAGTCACTCTAAACTAATAAGTCATGTTAGACTTGAGCCAACAGTCCTATCCATGTTCAGATTGAGTATTTCCTTTAGACGATAAATGTCATGTACCTCAACCACCTGATGGAGGGCTGAATGATCGGAGCTGTTATACAATGAACTATCTTCATATTAAGTAAAGTGAAATCATCACATTTTATTTGATTATTTTGATTTAAAAGGAGTGAAGTGTTTTGGTCTCCTGCTCCTTCCTATTAATCTTCCAGAGAGGCACTCAAGCATAGGCCTGTGAAGGAGGCATTCAGAAGACTAACAGTAACAAGACATGTCTAGTTCAATTAATGAAGTGCACTCTTATCTAATAATGCTTAGGCTACCATGTACTTGTCAACCAACTGCTAAACTTTTCTAGACTGTTCCTCATGAGATGTATTGGAATCTAGTTTTATCCTCCATCATCAGCAAAGTACAATTTTGAGCAGTTGATATTTTGCGATGCTATTATTGTTCGTCAACATGCAAGATACATTTGTGAGCAATTGATGTTTATGACATTACTATTGTTAATACAGACTATACTCCTAGTTGCAAAAATGAAAATCTGTTATCAGATTATTTTTGGAATTTCAAGAAGATGAATTGAACTTAAAGAAGACTACACAGCAAGTGAGTATCTGGCGGTATCGGCAGTGAGGGCAAAAAATAATGGACTCAAGTCATCAAGGTTTCTTTCAAGCAGGCCCCCATTTCTGTCTCAGATATATAACATGGTAACATTCCTCCAGAGAGTCTCCTGATGACCTGGATTGCTAAACTACATCGGGATGGCCAGTCAGGTGTTCTGAGCTATGATGTCATCATTCTCAGCCAGCCTATGACGCCATTGTAAGTCAGCACACCTGAAGAGCAGCAAGCTGGGGAAGTCTAGCCTGATGACACACCACAAGGACTGTATTTATCATAAGATATGTTGAAAAGCAAAGATGAAGGTAGGGAAGAGGTCCCCCTTCCAGTATTTATTTATTAAATTTATACACCATCTCATGCAATATCAGACACTTACTTTTCTTCCACCAGCTGCTTCTGATACTCTTCATATTCTTCCCTGGTCATTCCTTGGGCTTCTGCTGGGGATTTGTCCCCTTCTCCTTTGTCTTCTCCTCCCAACCCGCCGGTGAGATTCTTCAGTTGGCCACCGACCACAGACTTCACCATGAAAGCCATGGTTAGGCAGAACGAAGAGCAGCGGCAGTAGATACGGGAGCGGAGTTAGCAGAGTTAGCAGTCCCTGGAGATGGCCAGAAGAAGCTCAACTGGGTCGTGGAGTAGGCTGGCTTCTTCAAGCTCAGCTGCCGACTCCGATTTAGATCAGCATCTTGTCTTTCGTGGAGGAAGCGTTCCCTCGTTGTTTCCCATTGAGGCTCAACGGGGCTCCGGAGGGGAAGAATAGACCCGAGTCCGAGCGAAAGTTCAGCACCTGATGTCCGCGGACAGCTCCGAAGCAGCGCGCCCCGGCCCGACTCTCACAGAATTGCGGACTGGCGCGCTCGTTTCAGCACCACGGCGCTCGGACAGCGACTGCCGTCGATGGGCGTTTGCGGAGCCGATGTGCCGACGGGGCTGATCCGGGAGAAAGACTCCCCTCCCGCCGCGGAGGGCCGTCCTTCGGAGCCCCAATCCTCTTTAAGTTGGTCTAACCTCGACTCTCCACGCGTGACAAGTTTACTCCGCCCCCTGAGCCCTCCCTTCTGGCTTCCCAGCCCCACCTTCCTCTTTACTTTTATTATTTTTTTTAAAAAAAGGGAAAGAAAATGGACGTGCAGAAGAGACAAGTCTGTCGCTCAAACAGCTATTCTGGATGGCAGCGTCTGAATCCACCTGATGGGAGGAGAGTTGGGAGTAAGGACCCCGGTACGTTCACCAGCTTTGCTCAGCCTGGCGCCGGATGGGCCGGATGGCAAATCCTATCATTCACTTGGCTCAGAGTAAGAGGAATTGTGTCCAACACATCCGGAGGACCTCCAAGCGAAGAAGACTGTTGTCTGCACGCAAATACAGATGTGATGGACAGTAAAGTGGGAAGACTCTTCTGGAAAGCTAGGTCAAAAAGATGGATTTTAACCTCTTTGGACTGGCATGCTTTTCCTTTCTTTTGTGCTTTGCCTATTAAAAAACCTTTATATTTATCTTCTAGAGTTACTAAATTTCTACACTCCCCCCCCCCCATAAAGAGTTTTCTAGCTTCTTAAAGACTGGTTTAATGAGGTATAAGCATCCATTTTATAGCTGTCTTTGAACTGCACGTTTACTCAATCCAAATTTCTGAATCTGCCTGAGCACTAGCCTATAAACTCATCTCACAGTTGCGTTCACACAACTTGGTGAGGCAAAGTCTAGTGGATCGTTTTGAGATTCGCAGCCGATGCAAACACACCCACCCATCAAAACCGAGTCTCACTGGATCTAGTTCTTTATTTACCCTCCCGCTTTTCACTCCCAAAAGTGACTTGTAGAGCAATTAAAATCAAACACCATAGCATTAGCAAGTTTGTGATTGCAAGGCTATTTTAGACCTTGGTAATAATGGCTGGAACATTAGAGTTTTTAAGTTCTGGCATAAGGGAAGGGAGGGAGGGAGGAATAGAGGGAGGGAGGGAAGGAGGAAGGAATAGAGGGAGGGAAGAAAGGAATAGAGGGAGGGAGAGAGGGAAGGATGGGAAGGAGGGAAGGAAGGAAGGAATAGAGGGAGGGAGGAAGGGAAGAAAGGAAGAAAGGAATAGAGGGAGGGAGGAAAGCACGCAGGAAGGCAGGCAGGCAGGAAAGAAGGAAGGGAAAAGAAGAGAAACAACAAGGAGGAGAGAGGAGAAAGGAAGAAGAAAGGGGAAAGAAATTGCAATGGGGGGAATGGGAAAATTTAAAAGAGAATGAAACAGCATAGGAAGAGCTCAGCTGCAAAGCTTCTGGTTTGAATGGATAATGCCCATTAGGAGCAGCTAATCTCCTAAAGTAAGAATATAATATACTATAATAGATATTGCTAGTACAAATGAACAAATGGATTTAAAAAAACATCCTCCTATTTTTGCGTATAAATAATCCGAGTGCTGCTTTTTTTGTACAGAAGTTAATGGAAACTGCTAGCCACCTAAAGTGCTTTAAACTCTAGTGGGACTCGTTGGTTATGTTCACACAATACATTAGGTTCAGTTGAAACGAAGTTGAGTAATTTGTGGTGGAGCCCGTTGGGGGAATCTAGCCATCATTTTGGCATAGCTTGCCAACTGGAGCACATTTACTAAAAATGGGGCCAAGCTATTTGTGGGACTGCCTGTCTCCCCATCATTTTGGCTTGCCCCTCCAGATCAAGCTCCAGGTCTCTTCCATCAAACAATGCCATCTCGTTGGAACCCGATATCCTGCCTCCTTTGTACAAATGGCTGTCCAGTCTCTTCTTGAAAACCTCGAGTGATGGAGCACCCACAACTTCTGGAGGCAAGTGGTTCCACTGTCAGGAAATTTCTCCTTATTTCTAGCTCGGTTCTCTCCTTGATTATTTTCCATCCATTGCTTCTTGTCCTGGCTTCAGGTGCTTTGGTGCCTGGTGGACATTGTCTTTCCTACCTTTCGTCCTTCTAGCTTCCTTCCAGCCAATATTTTTTGATAACAGCGATGGGGAGGAATCCGTTTCTACCTGTTTTGTTTTTTTTCCAAGACCATAAAACCCCAAAGAGATCAAAATCTATAGAACCGAAGCACAACCTAGCACACCAAACAATTGTGGTTTTGCACCTGTAACAACAGGAAACTGCTTCTCGGATCAACAGGACGAATCTGTGTGCTTCAGAAATGGGGATCCCTTTCAAACAGGATGTCTTTTTGCTGAATCGGCCTGATTTTCCTCCAGATAAAGACTTCTCATGAATTTTAGCACTATTCAGCACTACTATATCTTCACTTTTCTCACACTCCATCATGTACCCTCCAGGTCCTCAAATTTAGTGTGCTTCAGAAGGCCAGAACCGAAGACTTTATTTCGCCAGAGGGGTCTGTAGAGATGAATTTTAAAAAAAAAAATTCAAGGTGGAGGTTCCAATTGTTCGATTGCAACACATATATATAGTAAACAAAGATGGGGCTTTGCATACACAAGTTGTGGCTAGCAACTGGCTTTGTTGTCTCCTCTAAGGACATCCCTGGCCCTTGGTAACATACCCCACAATCATTGTTTACCGTTTGTCATCTTATTACAATTTTGCTTCCTTCTCCAAAATAGGAAGATAGGCTTCATGCTTGCACTAAGCCAGAAATTATCCCAGTTTGGCTGCTGGACTGAACCAAACCTGGTTTAATCCAATATCTGAATGTCTCCAGTCTGTGTGCTTTTGCCATGATTGGATTCAGTTTGGTTTAGTTTATTATTTTTGAGGGATAGGTTTGATTGATTAAGGGATAATAAGCACTCCCTTTTAGCTTGGTCTTCATGAAATCCCTGCTTTGACTTACACAAAACTAGTTAGGATTCCAGAACTAAATCCCTGGATTGATGTATCTCATCCTGTTTCCCTGGTGTGGCATCCTTTTCTATATGTTTGTGGAGTTTCTCAATCATCCAGGTTATGGCTGTCCCAAAGGTGCTTTTTGGAAAAAAAAACAACTGGACGGGGTTTTTTTCTTTGAAATCTTTTTGCTTGGGTGAAGAAACTTCTTGAATGAGAAGCGTTTTCAGAGAAAAGAACCAAGAAAGTCCAGTTGCCTTTTGGAACAAAGCCCCTTTAGGACATCCTCTTCTACCTACAGGGTTGGAAGGGACCTTGGAGGTCTTCTAGTCCAGCCCCCTGCTCAGGCAGGAAGCCCTATATACCAGTGGTTCTCAACCTTTTTAATGCCGCGACCCCCAACCAGTTGTAAGTTGAGGACTAAACTGGTCATAAGTCGAGGACTAAACCGGTCATACGTCGAGGACTACCCAACCAGTCATAAGTCGAGGACTTTCCCTGCCCGGGAGCGCAGCACATGCGTGGTGCTGCCCCCTGCGCCGGCCGAGGCGTAGCTGGCAAGCGGCAGAGACGGAGCAGCCGACCACCGGCTGGGCCACCAGCTGGCCCAGCCCAAGGGAGGTAAGGCACCCGCCGGAAAAGGGGGAAAAAATGGCGGACAGCCTTGGCGACCCCCGTGAAATGGTCGATCGACCCCAAATGGGGTCATGACCCATAGGTTGAGAACCGCTGCTATATACCATTCAAGACCTCCAGTGTTGGAGCATCCACAACTTCCAGAGGCAAGTCTTCCCACTGATTAACTTATTTCAATCCACGAATTGAAAATCCATTGATTTTTCTAATCACCTAATTAATTAACCGGATTCACCTTTTGACACCCCTCCCCCATTTCCGCTTAGAGAAGGTTCCTTCTCAATCAGCTGCCCTGATCCCTGGCTGATCCCATACAGGGGGCCTTTTAGCCCTTCCTGGAGAAGGAATCTGTTAATCGAAGCGGCTAATTATGCTGCTCTTCTGCTCTCTCAGTGGCTACTTGCCATGCGCCTGGCTTGCCTTTCTGTGAACACTCAGCCCTAGGGGATCTTTCCGAGCGCACTGGACAAGCTGTCATGGGGTTGAATCAGCAGCGGAGAGAGTCAAACATAAATCCCTCTAAGCAGGCATGGATGAAATCCCAAGCTTAGGAATGTGCACGCTTCATCCCCCAACACATGGAGCAGGGAGGAGAAATGCAGGTCCCTTCCGTGACACAAACACGCATGGACAGGCCCACAGCGCTGCCGAACGAGACTTGGTAATCAGCACATGGACGAGACACGTGCTTTCCGTTGCCCCTGGCCGGGAAGAACTCAGGCACAGGCCTCTGTGTGTAAACGAACTCACCAAGGCTTCTGTGTACGTTTCCTCCTCCCCCTTCAGAGGGTTGTTTGGGACTTACGTTCCTAGAAATTTAGGAAAAGCAGGTGAAAAAAGGAGGATGACAGCTTTGTCCATCGCTGGGTCACCAAAAAGCGGCAGAAGGACGTAGCCTTAGAGCCACGCAGCCCAAATCTGGACAGATTGCACCCAATTGAGTAAAAGAGGTCTACTTGACTAGGATGGCATCCAAGGGGGCACTTGAGATGGGCGTGAGTGGCAGCTTTCAGAAGAAAACTTTCCATTGCTCCCGCCCGCTGTTCACCTCCAGTTGTCAAGCCGAGGAGGTATCTGTGCCAATAAAGGAGAATATTTGTAGCTCAGGGTTGAAATGAGGGATCCCTGGTACTCTCTGAGCTTGGCTGTTTTCTTGCTGATATTTCATTATCCTAACTAGCTAACCTCATCAGTGCTAGAAGGGGGTGGTGTTTGTGGAAAGGAGGAGGAGGAGGAGGAGGGGGGGGGGAGGAGGAGGAGGAGGGGGAGGAGGAGGGGGAGGAGGAGGAGGAAGACGACTGTGGTGTCCTTGGTACTCTCTGAGCTTGGTGGGGTTTTTTGCAGATGTTTCATGACCAAATTAGGTAACATCATCCGTGCAAGAAGAAGTGTGAATGAAAGCAAACTCCACTCCCTTCTAGCACTGATGATGTTACCTAGTTAGGTAATGAAACATCTGCAAGAAAACCACCAAGCTCAGAGAGCAACAAGGACCACACAGTCCTCTTCCTCTTCCTTTCCACAAACCCCTCTCACTTCTAGCACTGATGATCTTACCTAGTTGGGTAATGAAACATCTGCAAGAAAACCAGCAAGCTCAGAGGACATTAAGGACACCACAATTCTCCTCCTCCTCCTCCTCCTCCTCCTCCTCCTCCTCCTCCTCCTCCTCCTCCTCCTCCTCCTCCTCCTCCCTTTTCCTTCACTCCACAAACCCCCCCTCCATTCTAGCACTGATGATGTTACCTAGTTGGGTAATGAAACATCTGCAAGAAAACCACCAAGCTCAGAGAGAAACAATGACCGCACAGTCCTCCTCCTAAGCAGGCAGCCCCATCACTACACAAACAGTGATGCAGCAGACCAATCAGGCTGTGCAACAGGGGTTGATTTCCCAGCAGAGGTCAATGTCCTGGCTCAGCTAAATCTGTTCCGGGACCTCAATTTCCCCTCCCCCTTCACTGAGGATTAAATTCCCATTTCCTCTTTGACACACAATCCTCCTGACTTTGTCAGTCCCGGGAGAATTAA